ATGGTGAAGATGGGGAGGATTTATTGCATGTGTGGTGTGCTTGGGATGTTTAAGAGAGGATTGGTAAGTGACTTGAACATCTGAAAATTCATAAAATCAAATCATAGTTATAGAATTGACAGAATGCTTCATTTGGATGATTAGAGCCAACTAAACAATCCATAATAATGCACATAATGAATCAGAAACAAATAGAAATCAACATTTAGAAAATTCTGCTGATATATATATTCATCCATCCACTGAATCTCAGTTCATCACCAGCTTTAATCATTCCTCCAGGCTGATTCCAGAACAAAAACAATGAATTTATTGATCAATTAGTATGTTATGTTCAAAATCACAACAGCATACAAAACTAAGCAGATTCACACTCCATGTTAACCTAATCTAAAGATAGCCAAGGCCACAACTTAAAGTTTTATAACGCAAATTTGAAAAAAAATAAAAAACTCTGTTAAAAGTGGTTGTTTTATTGAATCTGAAGGATTAAAGAAAGTTTTCCTGGTAAGAGATTCAATAGAACAAACCTCTAGAGAAGAGAGTCGAAACAAAGTAATAACTGGAAGAGTCAAAGTGGAAGGAGCAGCACAGGGCAGGGGATGAATTCTGCTAATAGATTCCCATCAACCTGTTTTGAATGGATTGCTTCCATGCTCAATACTACCAAATCGAGATTGAGGTCATCAGCAACCTCGCCAATGACGGAAGTCGGCATCTTTTCTTCTCCAAGACGTTCCAGAAGTCTGAATTCTGAAAATCCACCTGAATGAAAAAAAAAAAAAAAATCAAACTTTAACATTTCGGAGCATTTACATACAGACCACCAATTTCTTTAAATATTTAATACCTAAATTCGGCTTTTTACAATTATACTACTCAAAACTTCCGTATCTCATAAAAAATGCCTCCATTTTAACTTCTAAATAGTGGAAGACACCTTTTCATGAATTGGAAGGATGGAATATATGTAAAAATGAAGGTTTAGGTGTTAGAAATGTAAATACATATGAATTAAGTGGCGTATCTGTAAATCTTATTAATATTTTACTCCTGAAAGAAAATATCAGCCATCAGTAAAAAAACAAATAGAAGATATAAAGGGTTACAATTTTTACTCAATTGTGGACAAGCACAATAAAGAAAAATGCGATAAAAAAGAATATCCTCAACAATGAGAATAGATTAAAATAAAAAAATACTTAGAACTTTTACTATAACTAATTATCAAATGTTATAATTTATATGTCAATAGAAACTTGTTCTAATGAATTCATAAATTTCTATTTAAAAAGGAGATCCAAAATTGTAGGAACTCGAAAAGACCTCTTGGCATGGTGCAAAGGATGATACTCAAGCCTGAAATCTATTGTTATGATGAACAAGGTTGCATCCTACAAGAATTTTCTCATAAATGTTTTATGGGGAATGCTCAAAAAGCACCTTCTGTACTCTTATTTGTACATAAATATAGGTATAAATAACAAGTCTCTTCCAAAGTTTGAGGAGTGTTTTCAGCTGATAACATGTGAATTTTTAAATATAAAAGTTTACTAACTTTCACAAACAAATCTCCACCCAAGGCAAAAATATTGTTCAAAGATCAACTTTGTATGATATTCAACGACAAGTCACAGTCTATATAGCATAGACCTGGTCCTAAAAGTATGAAAAGTATGATTCAAAAGTACCCATGTAACAATTTTTTGAAGAACTCTTCATAAAATTTCTATAAGAAATTCCTTCATATGATTTTTGCCAATCGAGCATATATATATATATTATTATTATTATTTATTTGGTGCATTTACATACATGGCACACAATTCTTATGTATTTACATATCTCAGATCTAAAATTTCATAATAACACACAGCACCCAAAACTTTAATATCATATAAAAAAAGAGCACTATTATCACTTTTTAAAAGTGAAATATGCATTTTCATGCATAGGTTTAAGGCACAGCTATGTATGTAGACATGAATGTTCAGGTGTTAGGTATGTTAATACATAAGAAATTTGAGTGCATAAGTAAATTTTCCTCTTTTTAATTACCAACCTTCTGAAAGATGCCACCGAATGCTAGACAGCTGAGATTCATGATCTAGGATAGATTCTTTAGGTTTGTCGTCAATAACTGCAAAGAAAAAAAACTTAACTTTTAAAGCCTGCAATTATACTAAATTTGCAAAAAACAGCTTTCAAATGTTACATACAAAAATAAAAAGAATGGAGTCGACAGAGGTTTGATGAGCGTACCAACCACTGTGATATCTGCCCCATACTTCTTAGCCAAAGAAGCTGTCGTTGCTGCAGCCTAAAAAATGAAAAGAAAGTTATCACTCTAATCTGATGGGAGTTGCAGTAGAAAGGATAGTGTAATATCATAGATATTAAAGTGTAATAGTTACAATTTTTCTTTTTGAAAGAATTTGTCCGAAGGGAAGAAATTTATAATACCCACAACAACTTATTTACTCGCAAAAATTTTACAACTACATTTATAAACATCAATAGCTGCCTAAAATGGACCTCATGGACTTAAAAGAGATATTTCTCACAGACAAACATTCGCCCATCTACCTTTTTGGAATGAGTTCTGTGAGGATGAAAGCTTGGAGCAACAATGTTTTCGGCGTAATTCTTTCCTCACGCGTGAAAAATTTCTATCACCTCTAAATTTTAATTTTTAATAAAAAATATTTCTGAAGTATATATTCGAGAAAATTAATTTACACAAGCCTAGCACAGAGCCTAATATCAAAAGCCATCTCTTCAAGATGTATGTCTATATTAAGACTCAACTTGGGGTGACCAATGTTTCCTCTAAAGCTATTGTACAAATATTGGGGAAAAATAGATTTTTTTTTTAAAGAAAGCTATTTCACAGTATAAATTGTTTTAAAAAACAACATAAAAAAGCATAGCAAAATAAAATTGAGGTTGCTATATGGAAAGCAGAACAATGAGAAAGCTGCCAAAAATAGACCCTAAATCACAGAGACATACCCTACACAAAAAGAAAGTAGAATACAAACAAACATGTGACTTTTAACGAGTAAAGCATAAATGACCTGTTTTGCAATGTAAGAATCAATCTTGATGACATCCTAAATTGGTGCATCTTATAGTTTAGGCTTGCTTTTGTAATATTGTGTAGCGTCGTATAAATTTAAATTGTTGCAACTCTCACGGAACTCTCATAGGCATGGATAGGTTAATCATCAAGTTCATTATCCATAATTCTAAAATTGTGGAGGTGAACACATCATGATAGAGCTTTTCATTGCAAATTTTCATATAGAAAAAGTTACAGTCAACAAATATTTGGATAGTAATGCAAAAAATATTTTTTGTCTTAGGCCTTTGAATAATTGATATAGTGAAAGAATCCATGGCCCATTGGTTAAAGGAGAAGGTTGCTTCTTCATGATCATAGGTCAAAGGCATATACTTCATGATTTATCACTCACCATAAAAAAATAAAAAAATTAAAAAAATTAAAAAAAGCAGATGCCTAAAAATTTGGAAATCAACAGGGCAATCATCTAAAATATGTTCAAATTGATGAAATTAGAAATAAAATTCAAGTAGCAGGATGCCGTGTTACTCATGGTAAAGAAGAAACTCAAAGCTTAACAATAAAACAAGCAACTGCTAAGAATTTAATTCGGAAAAAAAAAAATAACGGCAGGGTTCAAAATTATAAAATAAGAAAATAAATAGATTGCAACTATTTCATGTATAATTACCACACTTCTCTCTTAATGTAAGGTAGGATGCACGAGAAAGAACCTGTCTACTTCCCTCCGAAAGATAAGGATTCCGATCTGTAATCGGAAGAAGAACATGCTTGATGTTTGCAAAAGCATCAGCAGCTAAACTAGCACCAGATTCTTGTTGTTCAGCCCTTACTGAAAATTTAGTAGAGAATTGGTTAAAAAATATATCAAAATAAGTAATTAAAACAAATAATTTAGATACTCAGAAGAACATAAGAAAAAAAAAACAAACAAACAGCAGAAACAGATATGATAGAAGTTCGATGTATCATAACAGCCTTAGTGTAGCGACCACAATTCTAGAATGGACGCAACAAAGTCATAAATTAAACACTTACGGAGCAATTTAGCCTTATATATCTATTATAGTGCCAGGAAGCAAACCACCAGAAGATCACCAGAGTAAAAGAAAATTGGCATAACCTCGATATGAATACAAAGTCGCTCTATAACATAATCGAGAGGTGTTTACATACATACCACACAATTCTTATGCATTTACTTATCAAACACCTAAATATTCACATTGACATGTACCATTTAAATCTTTAATAACACATTAAAAATATCACCATGACAATCTTTTTAAAAGCAAAATACATCTTTTATGCATAAGTTTGACAGCGAGGTGTCATGATTTTCAATATGAAGCTTTAGTTGTTAGATATGTAAATATCAATATTTTTAAAAGCCCGCTTCACGTGCAAGCAAACGGCTTTGCTTTGCTGAAGCACGCTTTAAAGTGTTGAAGCAAAGCGGTCAGTTTGATTCACAGTTTAGCTGGAGGGAATAAATGACTAGTAAATTAATTTAACTTGTTTTATGAAACTTGAGACTTTATTAGTGTATATTTGATTTTAAATTTAAATTTTGTTTTAAGTCATAAGATTTTCTTTGCAATTTTAAAGTTTTTAATTATTACAACTATTAAAAACTGTTTGAATTTTTAATTTGCAGGTTCACTATCAATGTTTGCCTTCAAGTTAGATATTGCATCACATTGCTTCCTATTTTATATCAACTTTTAAGTCATAGTTTATATTTTAAAACTATTAATTAAGGTATTTATACATTATTAATTTTATATAACCTATTACATTTTAGTTAATAAAAGCTCTACTTCGTTTTTAGCTTCGCGCTTTGAAGCAAAAATAAAGTCTTGCACATTGCATTACACTTTGTGTTTTGATAATACCGGTAAATATATAAGAATTACATGGTATGTATGCAAATTTCCCAATAATCAATGGACAGAATGTACAGGGGAATAAGATCTCTTCCTCAAATATTTCTTTGACAAGAGAATTAGTTTAGTAGTTGCTTGATGAGACACTAGGCCTCAAACGGAGCTTTCTAGTAGCTCCTCACTCTTCTCCCCTGAACCACAGCTCAACAGAAAAAATAATAATAATAATAAATATAAATATATATATATATATCTGTGTGTGTGTGTGTGCATGCATCACAAAACAAAGGGAAGGAAGAAAAGCAGGACAAGTTTTCATGTACTTGCAAAAATTCAGAAAAATTCAATTAAAGCAGTTAGAGCAATACGAAAAAAATAACTGTTACAACTGCTGACCTTAGTATAATAAACAACTGATACAAACATTAGGAGTGTTTAACAAGCAAATACAACAACAAACGGGATTTATTAGCTGCAAACTAGTTCTGAGAACCAACAGACGCACACCCAAGTCACTGGCTCCTCAACACTAATCCTTCAACCAATTCGGTACCTTCCTCGCCCTTCGTATTTTATCTCTTGATGAACTAAGAAAGTTCATATCATTACTTCCACCATTCAGAACAAACTTATCCTCATGGTCAAAATCAGGATAAGAAGATCTTAGCTGCAAACTAGTTCTGAGAACCAACAGACGCATACCCAAGTCACTGGCTCCTCAACACTATAAGTCAATTATGGCTACTGGGGGTGTTAAAAATCAACTTGGACATGCTAACTCGACCTGAATTCTACTCGAAAAAATTGGGTTCGAGTCGACTCAAATAATTTTTGGGTCGAGATCGAGTTAGGAATCCTAACCCATTTAATTATTCAAGTAAGGTTCAGGTTGATCCACCAACCCAAAACTAACACACTGACTCGAAATTAAATAGAAAACGACTTGCCAACCCAAAATTGACTCGAGATTAACTCGAAATCAACCAAAATTTAGTCTGAATGGTTGCTATGCCTTATATTAAAGGCTTATATAGTTATATGGGTAGGTTCCGGGTCAACGACTTGAAGGTTTAGGTTAGACTTTCTGGCACATTTAATATTCAGGTCGGGTTCAAGTCAATTAGTTTCAGGTTGATTCCACAAATCAGGTTTGACTAATTGCTACCAAGAAAGCATCTTCTAAAAGAAAACCTTCTCTTCAAATCAAGAATAGCAATTTCGACCGACCACCTTTTATGACTATTCATTGATTTAATTGTCTGATGGTAATACCAATGGCTGTCAAAGTGAACTATTAAAAAGGCTAAATGCACAGTAGAATCCTCACTGAATGGCTTAGGATGAGAGACACAAAATACCGAATGCACCTTTACCATTTCAGGCTAAGGCAATTATATTTTATAAGCAGCCTTGGCAGTTCTTTCTTGCATGCGGAAAGAATCATAATAACGATGTTTCAATTAATTAAAAGGATGATCTGCAACAGTTGTTTGTCTGCATGATTGTAATTTAACAAAAGCCAAATCATCCATCTCAAATAGTACTTCACATTGTTTTAACCAATTCAGAAGGCAAATCCAAGGCAAAATTGTGCAAATATTACACCAATCCTATATTCATTACTTCTATTTGCAAGTCTGCTTTTATATGATAGGAACTGCTATGATTTAGAATAGTTTCACCAAGTCAAGATAATGCTTGCAAGAAAAGATAATAAAAATGGGGTCTTTAAATTTCATGAAGCTAGCAAAACAGATAGAACACTTATGATTGAAACAGAAAAATGACTGTGGGAATCGGAAAAATAAGCAAATTTTGATAATCTATCAATGATTATTTAGCCATGTGATTTAGGTAACATTGTTATAAAACCTATAAAGGCATGCTCCTAAGATCACCTTCGGATTTGGCAATGGTTGCAATAAACAAAGGAGTCGTTTGCGGAATCGCTAGGCACTAATAAATTGTTGAACATCTTTTCCCATCAACCCAATAAAATTGAGTCATCAGATGTGCCAACATTCTTCTGAATTCCACATGACTGCCATTAGAGCTGTTATATCGTTCTCAGCAAAGAGGTCTACCTCATTCAATCTGCTCATTTGTTCTCAGCATAGAGGTTACATATTCGATTTTGTCCTATGATTTCTTCAACCCTACCTCCAAGCTGAGCATTCTACCCCTTTTTACTCAAACCTCCCTCCCCCAACCCTACCCCCAAGCTAAGTAGTCCACTTCATTCCCAAACTATCCCTCATCCAAATTAACATTTAGACCATTGAAATAATTTTCACTCTAACGAATTATATTCCCAGTAACGCTCAGCAGTACTGGATCCACTGAAGCTCTACTCCACCAATTTCTACGAAACCACCGACTAAAAGCTAACATGTAAGAAACCTAAAAAATTCAAACTTAAGGGTGAAGAGAAGATGAAAGGGATATGCTACCTTTTCGATGGGATCTCTTGAAGGCGAAGCGGCTAGCTGTTCTGGCAAGCGATGGTGCAAGAGGAGACATTGAGCTCGGCCGATCGGCTCCCGAATGCTGGAATGACGGTGAGACAAGAGGGCATAAGAACTGAGCAAACGCCATGGACGAAGACCTTCGTTTCTCGGAGAAAGGATTCCGATGAGGATAAAAATACGTAGGCCGGGGACACCACTAACTTCGAGAACGCCCGGGACTGAAGAAAACAGACCAAATAAAATGACCTTTATATATATAAAATGACCTTATATATAAGAATTTGGCACTCTCTCGGTACAGTGGATAGGAGGTGATTGCACTCGGTATGTGTTGGTGGGACTCCATTATCCCATCTTTGTGGTATGATTGTACTCGGTGTTCGGGACGATGTGCAGCTCTATCGGGTACTTCGTTGTTCCGCCGCATATGTTGAGATGCCACTGACGAGAGATGGGCGACGATGATTGGTGGTGGTCGACGATGCTCGAAAGTTGAAGTGTGTCAGATTGTTGGTGCAGAGAACTGGACCTCAACTGTTTCTTCTCTAGGTTCTAGTCGTTCTATGTCTTAGGGTCTAGTCCCCCTCTTAAGAGGGGGTTGGAGCTCTATTTGTAGACTATAAATTACAAATAAAAAATCAATTTTTATCACTGATAAGATTGCTCACTAGTCACTGCTTGGGGAGGTTTCCTTAATCGATTTTTGTTCAGTAAATATTTAAGTGTCTTAGTGACATCAGGATTAAATGATATTAGGCCCGTTAGATTTGTCTTGTCCATACTCTCAATTTGAATATAAGCCTGGTAGATGTGTAGTTCATTTGATGTTTCAATTATGCACTGCAAACTTTCAAAAATGGTTTAACGGTTTGATCCAAATTTGATTTGACTTGAAATGTAATAACTTTGGTGTCATTGGTCTGTCTCATCGAGCCGGTCAATTTGACCTTAAGTTTGTTGGAATCAAAGTTCTGAATGATTTTTCGTAGAAGTTTGAAATTTTTCTGGTAAAAAAAATTTTCTCGAGATTCACGTCAAAGGATGAAAATTCCTTGATGGCATATCAAGGTGTTTTATATATTTAAAAATTAAAATTTAGATATTAAATAGGTAAATACATAAGAATTTATTGGTTTATATGTAAATCTTTCAATATCTATATGGAATTTGATGTGGATATCAAATTTGTGGTCATCGTTATTATTTTAAAATAATTATAATAAATTATTTAGATTTTTTATAAATGATATTTATTTTTAAATAAATTTAATTTATTTTGATATGATTTTCCTCCATTTTTTATAGTTTTAAGTCGCCCCCTTTGAATGATATTAAACACGCGTGATGAAATACGAGTTGATAAATTTAACCCACACTCATATTATGCTGCAAATTTAAAACTAAAATACTAATGTTTTGAGGAAATATTTTAATGAAAAAATATTTTATTGTGTTTTGTTATGATATGATTAATTAAGGAGCATTTATGGTTGTTAACGAGCCGAATTCAAGCCGAACTGGGATCGGCTAGACATCGGCTCGAAAGGACTAAGTGCGGCTCAAAATCGGCCGATTTTGAGCCAACTCGGCTCCGACTCTTCAAAATCGAATCGAGCTGGCCCAGATCGAGTTATTTGGATCCATTTCAATTCAAAATTGAAACTAGTTGGTTCAATTTGAGTTATTTGGATCTACTCCAGCTCGGAATTGGCTCAAAATCTTCTTTTGACTAATTATATTCAATTTTATTTAGCATTATATATAATTTTTTTTATGAATAAAATAACACTTCAAGCCGTTCTTGAGTCAATTCGAGCCGATCCATGTTTGACTTAGAATTAATTCAAAAAAAACATTTGATCCAAAGTTTTGGCTCATAGCCGAGCTCGTTTATTTCGATCCGAGCTAAAATTTAATTCGATTGTCGAGCAATTAAAGATCTTAGAGATAAATTCACAGACCAAGGTGCAATATGAGCATTAAGTGTTTGATAGATAGAAAATATTTAATTCAAAAGGGGGTTGAATCCCCTTTTAAGAATCTATATTAACTTCAAGAGTGTGCAATAATACGGACTAAAAGATAATTAATATTGGGCGGTATAACAAAAATCAATAAATGATAGAATCTTATATTATAAATGATTGGGATGGAAGCTCACGCTCTCTCTCAGGGCTAAGATTACTCTCAAATGTGAGTTCTTGGAATGAGATCCCAAATGTCACGAGACACATCGAGATAAATTATGTAAGATATTGTTTGAAGGAGAGCAATTGAAAAAATCAATAAATGATAGAATCTTATATTATAAATGATTGGGATGGAAGCTCACGCTCTCTCTCAGGGCTAAGATTACTCTCAAATGTGAGTTCTTGGAATGAGATCCCAAATGTCACGAGACACATCGAGATAAATTATGTAAGATATCGTTTGAAGGAGAGCAATTGATGCATGTGTTTCCATGCCTTCTTTAAAAGTATGGTTTCACAATATGTATAGGGCTAACTGAAAAAAATATTTTGTATGAACTCTCGCGTCTGGACGGCCAACCACCGACCGTCATGTCGCCCACCAATGAGGTTTATAGTGACTTGACCGTCGTTGATTAGCCGTTCGAAAGTGCAGTGTCCAGATATAATATTTTCTTATTAAACCGAGGTTCCAATTCAACATTGAGGACATACATAAGACGAACATAGAGGTGTGTAGGAGGAGATTGGAGTGGGCATTCCCACCCTTCTCTTATCACAAAAAATGGACTCTAGCAAAACTAGGCAATAAAATTATAGAGGAGAGGTAGTTAGGAGGGGATATGAATGTTGAAATGAGATTGCTTTGCAGTGTAAATCGAATATCTTAAAATATGAAAAGAAAGATTACAAAACCTTCATAATTTGCATTTTTTTGTCACTCAACTTCACTTTAATCTTATAAGAAAATACAAATTACATTCTAGTATATCTTCATCATAATTTTCTATAGCACAAGCCATCATAAAATCTTACTCTGCATATCATTAATTTCTCTTTACATATCCCCCCACCCAAATATCCAAAAACAAGCACAAAAAAAAAGAGAGGAAGACAACACAAAGACCCCTAAACAACGCCTAAATTACACTGTACCCCTCCCATTCAAACAAATATTCGAAAGTAGATATATGTTTGTAGTCCAATGAAATCACATCATGCGGAGATGACAGAAAAATAAAAAAGAATTTCTTTTTATCACAGGGGAATATTCCTCTATGATATTTCGCGTTATTCAAGTGTTGTTCGGGTGATATTCATGTGTTACTGTGTTATGAAATTATTTTCGCTGTTATAATAACACATAAATACCACCACAATAACACCTGAATAACGCGAAATAACACGGGAGGAATATTTTCCTGTATTGTCTGGCTGGATCACGGGAAAAAAGGTTTTTTTTTTCCTATCAAATTCACTTAGAGGTGATTCATTGGACTCCAAACATATTTCTACATCCGGAGTTCGGAGTCGGGACGTAATAACTTTTCCTCGCATTCCCCTCATCTCACAACCTTGCAATCAATCCTTATCTCCGTCCCCCCACTCAGACTACCCATTCTAACCATTGCCTTAACAAATCCCTTAAAAAACTTATCTTGAGAGTTCGCAAATTTAGTGATGAGTCTTATGGCTCTAGGGTTGTCAAGCAGGGCTTGGTCAGAGGAGAAGAGGCCGTTCCCTTGAAGCAGAAGCTTGTAATATGCGTTGTCGAAGATGAAGCCGGTGGAATCCATGGTGGTTCCGGCGCTCCTCACCTTGTTGTGTGCGGGGCATATATTTCTTAGCGTCGCCGCGAATGAGGAGCTCAGAGATGGGTCGATGTCGGCGCTGTTGTTGAAGTTGTGGATTCGGTTTTGGAATGAAGAGCAATGCGCAAAACCTAAAGTATGGCCGCCTGCATAAAAAACAAATTGTGTGTGGATTAGTGGTATTGGTGTGATATTGAAGTAGTACTTGTGGTATTGCGGTGTTATTGAGGTGCAATGCCGTCACAATATCACGAGAGATTATTGCGTCTGGACATAGGACGCAATTTTGTCACTTGAAAATGTGGCTCCCACTTAAACACGTAGTTTTTTTGTTATTTTTTAAAAGAGTGGACCTACCTTAACACATGTCTATTTTTAATTGAGACACAAATTTGAGTCTGGTGTTCGGACACAATAACCTTTGAAATATCAGTATACCACGGTCCTCAAGTATGCCCGATACATGCAATATTCGTTTCATCTACATGGATACAAAAACAAAATATAGAGAAGCAAAAATAATACATTTTTTAGTAAATTTGACTTTTTTATTTTGTTGAAATATTTTGTTTCAAATTTGAATTATTTTGATAGTTGTTATAATCATTTTGTAATGAGTGGGCTCTAAATTTTAATTGATTAATAATGTATTTTACTCATCTTAAAATTAATTCAATGAGTATGACATTAATTATTATCCTATTAGGGTTAGGATTTAGGATATATTGACAAAATATTTAAGCTTAATCGATCAAAATACTTAGAATTTCTTTTTTGAAGGAATGGTCATATGCTATATTATAAGAGCCTCCAGCCATCATATATGTGTCTAACAATTCGAGTACCAACTCCTTAAGGCCAGTTGTACCAGACGGGATTCGAACCTCCGACCTGAGGGGTTTTATACCGTGGATGTCAACCAACAGTCCGGAGTACACGACACATTAAAAATATTTAGATAAAAATATAGAACTTTCTTTTTTTTATTCATTAGATTTGCTTTAGGATGAACAAAATATAAATTATAATGAATTTAAACTGTATTTAACATCTCAAAAAATAAATTCGCTGTCTATACTAAATATTAATAATTAATAATAAAAAAGTTGGTCAATATTTTGAGAGGATTAAATTAAAAATGATCATCTATAAACTATTAAGTTTGATTAGAAATCAATAAAATTTAAATTTCAATTAATTCCTCATGTATTACACTACCCTCAAATTAAATTCAGGAGCATTTTCATGTATACCACCCAATTCCAATGTATTAACACATCTAAACTTTATTTTTACATTAATACCAAGTTACCAACCAAATCTTTCATAGCAATTAAGAATACCATCATTTTAACTTTTAAAAATAAAAACTAATCAGCACATTAAGAGTCCATTTGGGGCAGTTTATTCGGTGCGGTGGCATTTTGATAAACGCACCTGACCTGTTTCGATAAACTGCGTTTTGAAAATGCTGAAAACAACGTTTTCAGGCCTCATCTATCTTGGTGTTGCTGAAAACAACGTTTTCAGGCCTCATCTATCTTGTTGTGGTGACAGT